CTAATGGAAGACAGGAGGGTGCGGGCCATGCGTATTGTCGACTGCAGTAATGGTTTTCAACCCTCAAATATTGTTTTCGGATTATCAGAAGGACAGTCAACAGAAGCCGGTCGCCTGGAAGATGTTGTGCCTGTTTTTGGCCGTTTTGGACTGTTTTCTTGGGGCTCTAGTTGCAGGGTTTCCACTTATGCAACTGAGTTGCCACCTTGGTAGATTTCTCTTGACGTTTAAGCGCTGAGGAATAACTGGCTTTGAAAGAATTTTCTCCAAGCGGTTTCCTCTTATCGGTCGCGGTGTTTGGGGACGGCTGGATACTTCCTGTCGCTTGCTTAGCCCGTTTAGGCCCGTGTATGGCGGTCTTTGCAACGCGATAGTCAACTGCGTGTGTTTGAGCGTAATTCCTGGCCTCGTTTTCCTTGTTCTACTCCGGCAGAATGAAGATGTGGTAACATGGGCCGCTCCGCAGTTGACGCACTTCTCTTGTGCAGAACACATGTCGCCCTTATGGGTGTCTCTGCAATGGTTGCAGAAAGAGGGGCCCTTGTAGTTTGCTTCATGATGTACATAACCGCAGAACTTGCGTCATTAGATTGGGCGTTCCTTATACTCGGAAACCGGATAACACACGTGGCGGAGATACACATAACTTGGCAGTGCTGATGTGCAGAATAATGATTTCTCTGCAGTGCTCTGGCCAAGTCGGCGCTTTCTAGCCACTCGACCACCCGGCGATCTCAAATGCTGTTCGGTGTCGGCATCCGGTAGCTCTTTGCCGACGTCTTGGATTACGCCGATTGCGTATAGTGGCGAGGGACGGGCTTGTCGATCTCACTTTGAAGGCGCGCAGATCTGAGTGCAGGAGAGGAGTGTCCGCGTTGCTTGGCAATTACGTATATCAATCAATCAATCAATCAATCAATCCGTTATTTCACATCAGAAACTGATGTAGGCTGCAGGGGCAAAAAGTCAAAAGTTTGACTTGACAAGGCCTCTGCAGCCTTACAATTGGCACACGGCGACATACTACACATGAAGTAATAACATTAAGTTTTCAGCTTTTAACATTAAGCAAATAAATAAATAAAAAAAGAACCAGAAGAACAGCATAAGTGAAACACGCTGTTAAAGATAACAAAAAAATCATATGCATATATATATATATATATATATATATATATATATATGTATATATACACATACACATATACATATGTATATACATACATATATATACACGCATACATACACACACATACATACATACGCATCATACACACGCGCATATACACACATGTATATAAGGCACATAGCATATTTAGGTACATGACAGGACTAAAAATAATAATCGTACTACCTCAAGGATAACTGAAACATACAGAACACACGACCTCACAATACAAGCGAAATTTTAATACAAGAAAAAATTTTTAATTGTACTAAGATTCAGTCTCTCGATATTTGTTAAATTATGCTTCTGAAGTTTATTTAGAATAAATGGAAGATTATACCTTAGCATTTGGAAACCGTAATTTGTGCGATTTGTTGGTATTTTCCAATGCTCCCCCTCACGAACGTCATATACCCGGATATTTGGTGTTAGGTTTGAAATATGTCTAAGGAAAGGCTCGTTAGAACGGAGGGCTGATCTATATCGTGTTAGTAGAGTATACTCATATAAGTTAGGGACAGTTATTAGGCGTAGTTCTTTAAATAATGGGGGTGTATGTGAATCGAAAGGAACATTGAGTATTGTGCGAACAGCCTTTTTTTCAAGAAGGTGTAATTTGTTAGCATTTGACAGAGATGTGGTACACCACACTAAATTACAGTAGTTCAGATGGGGTAAAAAAACGGCCCTGTATATAAGCATTTTTATGTGACGAGGCAATAAATTTCTGAATTGACATAATTTCCCAAGCACTCTTGACCACAATTAGGTTAATTCTGCTATTTGGCCTTATCTCGTGGATGCAGTCCGGCCCTTTTGGCTATAAAGCGACTGACATCTTAAGGTGATGAATTTTGTTTTCAGTTAGTTTAGGGGGGGGGGGGGGGGGGGGAGGGGTCTGTTGGCGTGAAGATAACAGTCAGACCCTCTGAGATCATAGGGGGCTTGACCATGGTCGTAGTGCTCCCGCTCGAAATGGAGCTTGGTTTATTGCGCTTCTTGAATGCATAAGGGTCAATCCTGTCACCTTTTTTGGCGTCTGAAAGTTTCATATCAGCATTGAAGTCCTCGGGCCGGTCAGCATTGGGATTCTCGCCCTCAGTTTCAGCGCATATTGAAGAGATCATGCAATACTAGTAGGGGACCTCTTTTTTTTTCTTTTTTTACTTGCCGTTAATAAAGGGTTTTAAATTTACATTGCCAGGTCGATTCCGGTAGCCAAGGGGTAACCTTGAGTGGCAGACCCCTCCGCTGAGAAGCGGAGATAGTCCTTGTGGATGCCTCGAGGTACGAATGTGTAAACTGCTTATAATTTCAAAATATTGGATCGAATAAATCAGCCTACCGAAAAAAGCTGTCCCGCTCAAAAAGCTTCGTCTTCCGTCTCGCACTCTTGGCGCCGACTGTGCTACGGCGACATTTTGCGTTCGCCGAATTCTTTTGTATTTTTCCCGTGAGCGCGTGCTGTCGGCATCGGGTACTACAGAGGTCGGCATCGCCCTAAACAGAAGGGCATTGAGGCACCTATTGTCTTGCCCAATACAGCCTAAAAGACAAGACCTGGGCAATACGTCAATCGCTAAAAGATACTCCTAACTCTGCCGAAGGGCCAAACGCGCTCTCCGCAAAGTGGCAGACGCGTCTGCCTTGCTGTCGCCACGTGCGAGCGTCGTATTCGTTGTGAGACACTGCAAGACGCTCTGACGGCGATTCTGACGCAAAGTAGGCGACCCTGCGAGGATCTGCTAATGATGACGTTGGAAGGGAAAGGCGCTTTGTCTTCTAGGTGGTATATTGGCTTGCCAGATAAGGCAGCACCACGTAGAATAATCGAGGCCTGCGAACATCCTCCTCTTACTTCAGGGAATGGAATCACAGTCGGATGGAGACTGCTCGGAAACTGGATCCGATCCCTATGTCGAGCGTCCTTTGGCACCCTGACTGGACACGAGTTAAGGCCATGCTCTACTCCGACATTGAGCGTAGCAAACTCAGCGTAGCGTAGCGCATACGGATGCCGATTGGTCTCGGATATCGAGTTCCTTGCTCGCCGGCAAGTGAAAGCCGCGCGTTCTGCGCTACGCTGCGTTTGATGTCGGAGTATATAAAAAAGCCTTTACAGTTGAACACTGACACAGCACTCGTGACCAACCTGCGTTTTTTTACAGCGAAGCTGCTTCATGCTCGGGTTCCGTGGATTTTTCGTGTGCGTCAACAAAAACTCAGAGAGGGCTCGCACCGCCCTCTCTTTGTCGTCGTTCCGAGCGCTTGCGTGTCTAGTCTCCTCCGGCTTCTCGGGGCGGCGATAGTCCTTGATATGGGTTTGCGTACCTTTCGTCACGATGGCCACCAATCAAGACAATAAATGTGTTCGTACCTTTGTTCAAAATTTTGTCACGTCTGTGTCGTGTGCTGAGCAGCTTCGCTGGTAACCCACGTTCACAGAATAGAATGGCTGATGATATTTGCTCAATCTCGCTGTGATGACGTCAGAATTCTATAGTTCATAGGCTTTGATTACACGAGGTGGTTTAAAACAAGGTCGCATTCTGTACCAGTTACTCTTAAAAAAGTAACTCCACACCAAACACGAAGGTGGTCGACGAATGAGTATAACTTGAAAAGCCACAGCGTCACAGTGTCAGTCACTTCGAGCTTTCTGACAGGTTACTCTTTCACCCGTTGAAAGGTGATAGCTACTCGAACTTGAACGTAATGAAGACACCCCCTTAGAGGCTTTCAAATGTGCGATCTAGTTACAGTCACAGTCAGGCGAAAAAAGTAAGTTTGCTTCAAACGTGTAGCTTGAAACGTCCAGGTTATGGGTTTCTGACTGCGAGCTTGACGGTTTTGTTTCAACTGCAATCAAGGCACCTGTGTAGTCTTATCTCAATTTGAGGCAATATGCCCGATATATTTAGAGGCATTAACAAAACACCTGTAACTCGAAAAATCGACACTGAAGCAGCAAGACCTATGTCGCTCCATCAAGATTTAATTTTATTGCAACTAAAAAAAAGAACTAAAAAAGTAATTCGTCACCAGTGCTTGCAACCGCGGAATTAGTAGAGCCGATAGGAATTGTGTCGCCAACGGACATCGTTGGCACGTAAATATAGTATATACAACTAAGCCGCCGACGATGCTTTTTATGTATTAAACAACATAACTACTTGTGAGGAGTACGTTAAATCCGTTAAGTCCGCAACAATCAAACTCTTTGTACTTGATTTGTACAGATGAACCCGGTACTTGATTTCTACCGGCTCTGTTTGTAGCATCACTTTACGCGAAGTTTTTTTTTTTTTTTTTTTTTTTGGTTAACAGCTGGGAAACGGTTCATGAAAAGATAGGACCACTCAACACTTCATGAGCATACCTGCGTTAAAACAAAACAAAAAGAACTGCCCCTAACTGACGACTTCTTTGCGGAAGTACGCGAACTTCTGCTACTGTAGTCACCGCCACCTTAAGGAGCGCCAGGGCGTGGTCTATAATGCTCATGCTTCACGCTTTGTGACTGTATCTTAGGCTATCTTATCTCCTAATACCGAAGCCTGATTGGCTGCGGACCGCTAATCGGATATGATCGGGGATCGCAACTTTCTGACCAGACTTGAGATTCTGCAAGGCAGAAGATCCTCCTCTCCGTGGAGGAGGAGGAAAGAGGCGACGGTAGACAGGGTAGAAGGGGGGAGAGGAGGAAACGGGGGAAAAGTGAAAAGCGTGAACTGGTCGTCGGCCTTTAAGTGGTCCTTGACCATAGCGGTATTCTGGTGAGCCGAAGGTGGTCTATCTATCGCCTCACGTTGGTCTCCCCTGCCTTCAACAGGCGAGTGCCGCGTGGACGGGCCCTGCCAGCAGATCTGCTTCGACCTCCACGACGGAACGTTCGAGTGCGGTTGCAGTTCAGGATACCGCCTTTCCAGCAACGGATACGGATGCGAACGTGAGTGGAATTTCTCTCTAAAGGCCCGTTCACACTTCTGCAACCGAGTACGACCGAGAGAGACCAGACCGGTTTTTAAGCCTTTTGCGACTTCTTAGGACCGGATGCGATGCAGCGGAGCTGGTCCTAAGAGATCGCAAGAGGCTTAAAAGCCGGTCTCGTCTCTCTAGGTCTTACTCGGTCGCAAGAGTGTGAACGGGCCTTAAAGCTCTCGAAATCAACAGGCAACGACTTTCGGACAACAAAGATAAATTACGTAAAAAAAAGAAAAGGTTGTTAATCTTTTTGTGGGTCATTAAAAATACTGTGTAAATATATATATATATATATATATATATATATATATGACACGCTCTGGGCTTCTCTTTTTTTTCTTTTTTCTTTTTTTGTTCTTTTGGAGTACAATTTGGGTCGTTTTCTGTGACTGGCACAGGGGGTTTAGTGATAATTCGTACCTGTTGTAAATCTTTCTTTTCTTCGGGGGAGAGAAAATGGATACCACGATACCACGAGCCGATTTTCCTTGATTAAATGACCGCTGAAATAGAATGACGTATATCATCGTAAATAATTTCAGAAAATGGCTGACCCAAGATTCTTGGGTCAATCAAAAAAAAAATCACCCGTTTTTTTATTTTTTATTGTTTAAAATTTTACGTAGCTAAGGTTAATTTGTTGCTTATTCTATTTTTATGTCTGAAAATAAAAGGGGGTGGGTCTTTCCTGCAACTTTTTCAAGTGTCTGTTGATGTGCAGAATCGTGTAAACATTATAATAGCAAAATCTATCTTAAGACAATTCCCGAAACATTCGTAGCGATGAATGCACGACGCTGAATTTTCGACGAACAAACCAAAACGAAAAATACTCCCCACGAGACCGGAGACAGAACAAGTACAAGCTCGCAAAACCGTTTTGACAAAGAGTTCTCAGACTCTACTTCCCATCTGGAAAATAAGACACCATAAACACTCATCCAGTCAACAAACAACAGAAATAAAAAAAAAAATAGGAAAAGACGGCGAGCATCCAGAGGGAACTATCGAAGAACAGGCAGTCCAATTATATCTCGCTAAAAGTTGGCAAGGCGCGCCAAAGGCTGTCTTCGCCGCTTCGATTCCCTCGGCCGGCCAGTGTTGCTTCGGAGCACCTGCGCTACGTCAAAACCATTTAGAGACGGCCAGGAAGCTTCCTCTGGTGCGAAGCACGAAGTACGCTTCCATTCCATTTCGCCCGCCTCCTCTCGGGACCGAGTTGATTCCGCTTTCTTTGCTGCCCTCCGGTGGTCCGAAAAATCTCTAGACGCTAGGAGCACGTTTCTCCTTAGGATGGACCGCAGATGACGCTACGAGCCGTTTCTTGGATTGGATTGGCTTCTTTCGGCGTTTTCTTTGTAACGCGCGATCACGAAATGCTGGGTTCTGGATCTAGCCTACAGCGCCTCAATGTTGTTGTGCTGGCGCAATACCACTTGGAAGACAAGGCCTGCACGTGAAATCATCGTTAGTGGATTCCCGTCCCACCCTAAGTGGCAAACGCGACAGTGGGGACAACTCTGTCGTCTGCTAGTGGAGTTGCCATCTTGTCTCCCACTCTACGCAGCCGTTTAGGGACGCTTACGCAGTTTTGAGTATTACCACTTGCGAAGTGACGCGGAGTAACTTTTAAGTGTACACAACGTCACGCGTTTCATCAAGTATGCCTTTGTTTGCGAATCAAAGAGCAATGCAGGAGAGTTGGTTCGTACTTACAAGTTGGCGATACAGCGCGCCGTAAACAAGGACAGAGAGAGCCGGCAGACGAGACGGGTACTGTTCTCGACGCCGTTCAGGAGGCAGGGGGTACAATGGTGGCCGCGGTCACAAAAAGTCGGCACTCGTCCCTTCCCCCCCCCCCCTTCCCCCCAAAAAAAAGGGTGTCGCCACTCTAGAGGGGCGCCGTAGGCAAGCAACATTGAGGCACTCTAGCGAGACCTAGGCTAGGTGGCGCAAGATACCGCCCGTTAGAAGGGGTACAACCATTAGCATCCATTCATCCAACCAATCTTATTCTGTGTAAAGCAACGTTACTCGATCAACTGACTCGGCAGACTCCCACGGACAGCGTGATCCTTTCTCGTACCCCTCAGGCGGGCTAACGCTGTTCGAAGCGCCAACCTTCTTGCTCGCTGCGGCGCGTCTTGCAACAGCAGTTCAAAACACGGCCGCGGCGAGCAAGAAGGGAGACGCTTCAAACAGCATTTCCGATTCTAGGTGTTATCAGCGGAAACTGACGCGTGTCAGCGCGTTTCTTAGAAGGAATCACGCTCTCCGTGGGAGTTTGCCAACTGAGTTGATCGAGTAACATTTGTGTAAACGCTTCTTCACAGAGTTGCGCCCTGTTGCAACCGACTGCGTTCTGCTCCTGCGTAATAGCTCGCGACGAGAAAGCACACAGGCGCCATCTATCGTGCAGCTGTGGAACATCCGTAATGTTTTTATCGCGCGCGTTTCTATTTTGTTGTTGGCTCTCAAAACTTTCGACAATGTTCTAAACGACGATTTCTCATGGGTAGTATGTGCATTAGATCTCGCGGATACGGCAAAACTTTCACTCTAGTTTAATGCCGTTCCAGGCTCACCTCGTAGATGGCTCCAGCGTGCCAGTCTAATTTCTCGTCGTATGCGGTCACATGGTTGCATACAAAGCAGCAGTTCCGCTGCTTGTAGACCTTTCCGGCGGCACTCTCAAACGAAGCGAGCGGGCAAAAAATGCTGAGTCACTGAGCTGTGGACGCACGCGCAGCGTCCGATATACCGCACAGCAGAACAACAGAGCATGCTTGGAAGGCGTCCCACAGCCCAGCAGACAAAGATGGCAGCGTGCAGGAGGCGATTTCTGCAAAGGTCTATACATTATACAAAAGACGCGCCGTTCCCTGAAGACACGATGGCAGTACCACCTGCGCACACGAGTCAAACATCTTCCACGTACGTCTCTTTTATACATACGTATGATTCGAACATCTCTGCAGACAGTTTTTTTCTGTATGACCAATGTGACAGAACAGTCATACAGGAAAGAAACATATCTCCGAGAATGCCTGCCGACTGTCTTTTGTTCGATGTATTAGCTGTGTGGCGTAAGGCTCCACACGACTGCAGAACGCACTCGGATGCGACCATAGTCAAATGTGCGTGTGAAGCATGCCCGCGTGACCTTCACCACTCCTGAAGTTTACGTGAAGCATGTCACGTGACCTTCGGGAGTGGTGCAGCTTCACGCGGGACGCGTGGCTGGCATTTTTTGAAGTAACGCGTTAGAAGGAACGAGGTTACTGATGACGCGTTAGTTTTTAAGCAACGTACTAACGTACCCGTTAGATTTCCAAAATGACTACCGCATAAAGTAGTTATGTTATTGTGTTCACCGTACTATCTATCTAATTACGTTTTTGTTACTTGTTCACGGCATTAGAGTTTTAGTAGCTCGTTCGGACGTGTGTGATAACGACACCTGATACTCCGCCGCCGCCTTTGCGCATGCGTCGTATCCTTATCGGGTGTCGTCCGTCCGTCTAACTACGTTACTCGTTACTTTTGATTCAAATTAGTCCGATTTATTTGTATTTTCAAAAGGGACCACGCGCCATCGGAACCTCGCCTAATTCTACTACTTTGATAAACAAAAGATTAAAAAATATTATGAAATCACTCCTTAAAAGTTTATTTACTTTCGAAGGTCGTAACCACGGCTTATCGCTGCCAAAACCTGAAATCCAAAGCGACGAAAAGACATAACGTTCGTCAAGCTCTGGAAGCAACGGTAACGGTATATTTCGTTACATTTGCAGGATGTAAAAACGCATTTTAGCAACGCGCTATGTGTTTCGGCCAGGTATAACGAGTCTATGACTGTCTCGTTACTTATTTTCGGTAACGGGCCCTACACTGGCAACCATGTGATACGTACCTTCCCAGCGCTGGATTGGCCGAGTAGGCTCGTCGTGCCCGCCACGGTCCATCCTAAAGTGGAATGGAGTATAGAACACGTTCCGAGGAACGACGAAGAACGGAAGAACAGAAAGAGGAATAGACGGAGAGAACCACGCCGCCACGCCAGAACGGTTTTTATCACTTTCCGTTTTGTTACCCTCTGGTTTACAATTTCCTTTTCGTGCGTTTCAATTTGTAGATTCACTTTTTTTACTTCTTTTTTTAGGAGGGGGCAGGTTCTGAAGATGTTCGGAGATTCCTTCCTTCTGCTTCGACGACTGTTGCCAAACGGGGGAACGCGAAGCGGGAGATTCTTCGGCTCTCAGAATGATTTTTCCGCGGATGATCGTTCTATTTATGGCCCGAGATCGGAGTACCGCGCACGTTTTGCCATCCTAGGAAGCTTAGAAAATCGGTTATTTTAAGCTCGCTTCTTTTTTTTTTTTTTTTGGTTAGGTTAGGTGTGTTAGGTTTATCCGAGGTTCTATAGCTGAAAGAATAAAGCGTGCGCTCTAAAGCAGGCGATATCCTTTCTCAAATATATTTTTCTTTTACATTACTAATATACATCACATATATTTTATTCATAATATTCTGATATACATAAATACTGATATACATGATTACTTATATACATGATATACAGGGGTTTTCACAGGAATTGAAATTAGGGGGGGAAGGGTGTCTAAATTTTTAGAGGGAGGGGAATTCAGCATAGGGGAGTCGTTGCGAATTAAGGGGGTGCTTTCAGAAAAACAAGGGGGGGGGGGGGGTGTTGGGAAATCAGGGATGATATACATGATACGCATTTTTAGATAGCTCATTTCTGTGCATCTTCCTCAGCATAAGACGCGAACTGTATGTAGGCGAGTTCTTGTAACTTAGTGGGTTCGTCGTGCGCTTGTGAAGCAATTTAATTTGCTTCATTTGACCTCTTTGGGATGATGTACCATTAACTAGATCCACTTTACACGTTAGAATATATTTGGTAACATTTGTATTGCTGCTTCATTTTTTTGTGTGTGT